GAATGCAACAGTTTAGTTAATAATGTGTGTATAAAAATAAAAAATATTGAAATTATGACTTTAAACAAAAAGTAGTCTTCTGTTCTCTAGATGTTACAGACAAGGCCCGCATCCTCCACCACCTGAAGAAGATGACAAAGTCTGGGATCGCGTCTTAAATTCAGACAGAAGACATGTTTTATTGTCGATGGTAGAGACAGCACGAACAACAGAATGCAAGTGTATTATACAGAGCGGAGGCATGGAGACCTTCAATCAGCAGCTTCCACGGTGTGCTTGTAGCTTGGCCTTCAGATAGACACAACAAGGGAAAAGTACAGGCTTCTGCACATTGATAGAATGATGAGTTTAACTTTAACAAAAGTTGTTTAAAAGTGTTATGAAATCTCACATTCCCCCCTCTGGTCACACATTCACCTGTGACCATCAGGATCGATAAACAGCAACATAACATCATAACTCAATACTTTAAAAACTCAAACTCGGTACTTCAAAAAACTCAGAACTCGGAATACTTCAAAAACTCAGAAAACTCATAAAACATGTTCAGATCTTTCATAAAACTTGTCAACAATCTTCAGTAAAATACCAAACTTCATCAGTCGATGTGGTTCCAGATATTGCTTTGAAAACAGTCTCTCCCACTTCTCTGTGTTGATTCTTCAGGCTGCATCTGTTGTGTCGAGCCATGAATTCTTCTGTGACGTGTCTTTCAATCACACGTTTCAGCTTCAGTGTCCAGATTCAGCAATTCAATTCAGTTCAAATTATGTCCAAATTCAGAAATCCAGATTGTTCCAAATTATGTCCAAATTCAGAAATCCAGATTGTTCCAAATGATGTCCAAATTTTGTAATCCAATTGTTCCAAATGATGTCCATGCAAAAGAGGACGCTGGTGTTGTCCATGTCTCAGCAGCTCACAGCAGGCCTGAGTGGAATCAGGGGCTGTGCAGATTGTCCATGGGCTGATCCAGATGCATTCTCTTGAGGTTTCTCAGTTTTGGCTTGAAAAAAAAAAACACATTTTTGTGTAAAAAAAAAAGTCTTCTGTTCTCTAGATGTTACAGACAATGCCCGCATTCTCCACCACCTGAAGAAGATGACAAAGTCTGGGATCGTGTCTTAAATTCCGACAGAAGACATGTTTTATTGTCGATGGTAGAGACAGCACGAACAACACGAACAACAGAATACAAGTGTATTATACAGAGCGGAGGCATGGAGACCTCCAATCAGCAGCTGCCACAGTGCCATGTAGCTTGGCCTTCAGATAGACAAAACAAGGGAAAAGTACAGGCTTCTGCACATTGATAGAATGATGAGTTTAACTTTAACAAAAGTTGCTTAAAAGTGTTATGAAATCTCACAATCATTATGGTAGAACTGTGACAAATGTAAACAATAAAAAAACACACCTTGTCGTGTTAGGAAAAATGTTCAGGATGTAAAAAGATAAAGTATTGTATGAAATCAGATTGACAGATTTTGGTTTTGAACGAGTTCAACAGTTTTGTATGTGATGACCAAAGCCATGAAATGAGCTTTAGTTTTACAGGGAGAAACTATTCAGTCGTGATATGTTTTATTTTGACTAACAGGACAGAAGCAAATGACAATATTTATTTTTACCAACCGTAATCGACAGGGCCAAGCCAAATTATTGTAGGGTTTTTTGAGTTGAACTAACTTTTTCTTTTTTACAGTGTGCATGGACCAGAAATCCAATTAAAATAATGGACAATTGCTCCTGCAGCGACTACGGCACTGCATGAAAAGTTAGATTTTCGTCACCCTAAACGGCAGGAAATCACGCTCTTTTTCATGCTAATGTCCCTACTTTGCATAGGAATGCAGCGAAACACCAGTGATGGGCAGTAGCGTCGCTACTAGCTTAACTACATTTTTCAGTAGCTTGACAGTAGCGTCACTATTTACAAAACCTAGTAACTTTTCTGTAGCTAAGCTATATTATTGCTCAAGTAGCGCGGTAGCGTCCGCCAAAGCTATTTTCTCACGGACATCTCTGATGTTCATATATTACAGCATTTTCCCGCAGCATAAAACAAACATATAGAAAGACAGAATGCTGATGCGCATGCGCAGGGCTTGGTAACAACACACACACACAAACGTACGCGCACACACACACGCACACACATGCGCGCGCGCGCTACTGGGGGAAGCAAAAGCAACGGCAGAGAGCCCAGGAGCCGCCGCGGTGGATCACAGGATAAGGACTCTCAAAGTGTTGTACCGTGGCCATACCTCCAAAAGTACGTCGCTCTAGTCGAGATGAGCGAAAAGAAATATGTTTTCAGATGCCTACTCTTTGTTGTTTTTGGTGTTTTGGGCTATTGTTCAATAAATATCTACAAAATGTTAACCTTTATCTGACTGACAGTTTATCTCAAATAATAAGATAAGCTTTATTAATCTCACACAGGAGAAATGTACATGTCACATTTGGCATGGATAAAACACTCAAGAATTGTGCAAAAAATAAGAAATGAGCAAACATGTTAATGCAGGAAAATATAAAATTGCATGAACTGCAGTTTGTTTAATTGAAAATAGCTTCTATATAGCAAGCTACTTTTAATTATATTTATGTATTTATTATAAATGTTAGAGATGCCAGAGAAAAGGCGTCTGCTTTTTTTCTGAGTGGGAGGAGACACCAGCGGAGCTGTTTGAGTCAAATAACGTTCAGCGTTATATTACCAATAGTTTCTCTTTCCATAACGATATTCTCTCTTTTTGGAAAGATCACCAACGTGATGCAAAAGTTTACGTTATACACTGAAAAAAATCGTGATTAACATTTACTTAAAAAAATCCTCGTAAGTATTTGCACGAAGATATAATTAAAGATTACTACTATAAATCAAGTAAAACTCTTTTTATTTCATCAAGTATAATCTGAATGTTATTTGTAAGTAAACCTTACTTAACAAATGTGATTTTTTTTATCACATAAAATAATCAAGTAAGGTTTATGTGATTTTTTTTAGGTTATTTATGTGTGAAATAGATATACTGAGTAACCATTATGTGTACAGATCATTTACAATAATGGATAACTTGAATAAATGTTATTTATATTTTATCAGTATATTTCATATCATTGCAATAATACTTATTAAGTACTATATGTGTGTAACAATTACATTATTATTGAATTAATAAGAAAAAACAATATGCAAATATCAACATTTAACAACCTGTTTTATTGACAAACTTTTAAGTTCACACATCAACAATGAAAACTAAAAGATGAACTAAAGCTGACCTTAAAAGCAGAACACATGACAACAGAAAACTTAATTATCACAAAAAGGATGCAATGGGAATGGTATAGAGATAGGCCATTGATTTTCTATAATTAAATGTCATTAGCTTAGATGAGATGATGCACCTGCCTGGTCTTTGAGCCTCTCTTCAGCTAAAGACCAGGATGTTGTAGCATTAGCCTCTCGCAGTAAATCTCAATGGCTCCAGACCGAGGTAATTTTAGAAGTGGCCGAGCTCTTTCACATTTTCCCTAATTAAAACACTGTTACATGAGGAGTTACTAGATTCAAGAATAGTCAATTAATTTAACATGTCCATGTTTTAATGACTAATTTTCATATTCTAGTCTAAGCTAGAGTCTAAGCTAAAGTAACAACATCAAATTATATAAAATCTGTGGCCTTTTCTCTTATGCTGAACAAAATTGCTTCTCTTATGTTTTGGACAGTAGCTTGACTTTCAGTGTTTGTATTTTCGGGGATGGCTTAAATGCATCTAAATGTAAGAAAATCTTCTGAAATACTTCGAAGGTGTATCGTAGTGTTGTAGGATAAGCAAGATTGAAGGAATATATTAGACCCATTAGCAGTGCACATGCCTTTGCAGTATTTCCACATCCAGTCACAATCTCCTTGCCGTCGAGAACAATAGAGACATCCACAGGTTCTTCATCAGAGGAAGAACAAACGACCAGGATCTTCATTTTGTGCCGGCCAACATCCTCTAAGTGCGCCTGGGTAAATTGTAAAGAGGAAGAATTACTTTGATAAATACACTCTATAGCTTACATAACTATAGCTATAGCTCACTTCTATAGCCATAAATCTTTTTATTTATCTAATTTATGCCCTGACAAAGACCGCTGTTGGTCGAAACGCGTAGGCAGTCCAATTCATTAAAGGACTTTTAATTTTTTCACCAAAACAGAGTGCCTCAGACTACCTTTGTTCTCTTCAAACATTATACTTGATTGATCAATAATCACAAGACAGGTCATAATCATAGACACAGCCATAAGGTGATTCCAAAACACGGACGTGTGTTTTTGTCATGGGTCAACATGCTGTGTTACATTACATTGGAGTTCATCATCGTGGCACAATATAAAAAAACAATCAAAACAAGTTTATAAAAGAAAGAGCAGTGAGTTCCCAAACTCTGACAGTGAGAGCTTTAAATTACCACTGTATTTCGTTTGGTGTATTTGAAGTGTTGACACTCACTCTTACAAAACAGGTTAAATATGTGAGGAATAGGACGACCCTGAGTTTTTGAGAGAATGGGGGAGAAAAATATCAAGAATGGTACCTGGCAATCTAGAAAGAGTTCTTCCTCATTTTCACCGAGGTAGAGCATTAAACCACGAATCACATTGTCACGTCTCATCTCAATTGTTTGGTTCTGTAAATAGCACCAAAACAGGGATATATCAATGGGAAAGAACAAATTATGTATTGTACTCAGCATAAGTTATGACTAAACATACCTGTATCTGTTTGTTCAAAACAGGTTTCAGTTTTGCCCCGATAGCACCACCCTTCTTCGCAAACACAGAAAGTAAATTTGGAGTGTATTTGTCCAGATTGAACATGAAGGTCTGCTCAAGAGGAATGGTGGTGATTCTCCAACTTTGCATTGCCATCTCTTTTGAGATGAGATGGCAATGCAAACTTTGCATTGCCATCTCATCTAAAAAGCCTACTGTCTCTAATCTTTCTCCTTCTTTGAGTCTTGATTATTGGTCCCCTGCAAGACAAAAATATGGATTTCAATGTTGTATACAGTTAGTAAACTATAAATCAAATGTATAGTTACATTTTTACCTGATTGAAGCTACCAAAGTAGAAGTGGTGGGTATAAGATCTGGTGTCAATATCAGCACTTCTCTCCTGAATCTGAAAGAAAATTGTAAAATATACTTTAACATTACAGTATAATATATAAATAATGTAATATTTATAAATTGTCAAATATACTGTAACATTACATTACTTGTGATTAATTTCACAATGTTCACATAATTATTATTTAATTGTCTAAATTCACACAATTTTAGTTGCACGGGGGGAACATAAATGCTTTGGGATATATTTTCAGTCTCCAAACGAAAAAAACGGAAAGACGTATCTACTTGTTAACTCATTGAATGCCAGCCTATTTCAGAACAGGTACTCCCACAGTGCATTTCTGATGATTTTTACTGATTTTTCAAGACCCACAGAATATTGTGTACTATGACTATCTGAAATCCGACACCAGATTCTAAAAGAATGGACTGTCTACTTTCCTCAGCAAAAATAATTTTGTTTATAGCTTTTTTTGTTCCCCTGTAATCCTCCGTCGAGTAGAGGGAAGTTTTACTGAAATCACCAGAAATCACCAGAAAGTTGAGAAAAAAGAGTAGTAGTAGTAGTAGTAGTAAGTAATCTTTATTTATATACCGCCTTTTCACTGCAAATCTGAGTCTCAAAGCGGTTTACAATTGTTAATTATTTTTGGGCATTTGTCTCTCACTCCACACAGAGATGGGAGCGGGGTCGCCAGTACACGAGGCGCATGCCAGACCTATTGTACATATTTTTAGTGGTAGGGGAAACCGGAGTACCCGGAGGAAACCTACGCAGACACGGGGAGAACATGCAAACTCCACTCAGAAAGGCCCTGGTCTGACCGGGATTCGAACCCAGGACCTTCTTGCTGAGAGGCAAGAGTGCTATCCACTCAGCCACCGTGCCGCCCAACACCGCCCAAGAGGCACAACATTGGCACCTACATGTTTTCAAACCATTCAGAGAGAAATGCTGCCACCTGCTGGCTCGATAAAATATGGTCTCAAGTCATCCCCATACATATTAGATACAATAGACATCTGGGAACGTGAAAATAGCGAAAAAGGCAATTGACGGATTAATGCGTCAATGGCACATGACATGCTTTGACGTATTTGTGCGTCAATGGGACACAATGAGTTAAGCAATAATAACTAAGTATCAGCCATGTTTAGTGGAGTGCATAGCGATATAAGAAAGACAGTCATGAAAGTAATGAAAACTGGCCTCAGAAGAAGCTACGCTACAACATTAACTACGCTATGAATCAAATCACGCGCAGCGTCGTTTGTACATACCGAAGCACGCAGTCCTCTGTACACAGCCCAGATTTACGTTTGAGAAACGAGACCAAACTCTTTGCTAAATAAAGCACAGGCATGCCTGTGCTTGTTGTTGTTTGAGGAGGACACGTGACAAAGCAAAAGCATGATGGGAACTGTACACTCAAAAAAATGAATAGCGACTATTGTTGGTTTTACTTAATAACATTAAGTAGAATTTACTTAAAAAAAATAATTTCTTCACTTTTTTCAACACCATTGAGTAAATATAATGAAGTACTTTCAATTAAAATGATAACTCAAGACGGCTGGTTAGAGAAAACTTAATTGTTTTAAGTACAACATTAGGTTTGTCTTTCAGGGCTTGTGGCAACTGCTTGCTCAAATGCACTTTGTATTAATTTTATTTTTTACATGTTTTTAAATTTATTTTAAAATGTTTTAACAAACAATAAAACACACAAACATACATTAAGAAACAAACATAAAAAACGGTGTCTTATACTGTCCAATGAACTGTTCCTCACCATTTGTCTTTTTAAAATTATTATTATTCATAATAAATGTTATTATACAATGTGACAAACATGTAGTACTTGACAAAGACAGAAAAGTTCTCGTGTTTCTAACTTCTGTGGGACATGATTTCACAAAAAAGGTAATTAAATATTGTACTGTTATCAAACAAATCTTTTCACATTCACATTATGAGTTTGATTACTATAAAATGGATGTTTGAATGTGCTGTAAAGTATATCAAATAACTTTGAGTTTTTCAAAGATTCTTGAAAAGGTTGCGTATTTATTATGAACTAAATTCAAATTATTGGAATTACTAAAGTCTACTGGCCTGGAATTACATGACAACGTTTAATAAAGTGTACCAAGTTTGGTCCCGATTTGTTGCCGTAGCTGACTTCCGCTATACGTCACGCGCAATACTGTGACACGCATGCGCACCATGGGATTCCACAACGTGGACTGGGGCCCGGGGCCGTCTGGAGGACTCGTTTTCTAGCCATCATAAGGTACTTTTATTTACTTTGCATTGATATTTTTCATGACATTTCGCTGCTAACTAATCAAACTGTCAAAGATGTATGTATTTATTAGGCTCTCAGCGAACCTTATCAGTAATCTGCCGACGTACCGCCATTTTGTTCGTTACTATATTTTACATAGTATGCCCTTTCATCAGTCAGAATCAGAATCAGAATCAGAATCAGAATCATTTTTATTGCCAACGTAAGTAACGGGAGGTCACAGACTTGGAAATTGCTTTGGCTCAGTGCAACAGTCGAAAAGAGATAATAAAAATAAGAATAAAAAACACTTCTAAAGAATAAATTTAAATTTAAAATAGAGTTACAGTTACTATTTACAATATACAAGTGCACATGGTGCACACAATGTAAGGTGACAGCAGTACAGTGAAGTAAAGTGACGTATGATGGGCAGTAAAGTGACTTTATAAAGGGCGGGGGGACAGGTTAAGAAGTGTTCAAGAGTCCAACAGCAGAGGGGAAGAAACTGTTCTTGTGGCGGGAGGTTCTAGTCCTGATGGACCGCAGCCTCCTGCCTGAGGGGAGTGGTTGGAATAGTCCATGTGCAGGGTGAGAGGGGTCGGCTGTGATACGACCAGCCCGGCCTCGAGCTCGGGCGACGTACAGGTCCTGCAGCGATGGAAGGCTGCGGCCGATCACTTCCTCTGCAGAGCGCACAATGCGCTGTAGTCTCTGTTTGTCCCTGACTGTGGCTCCAGCGAACCACACGGTGATGGAGGAGGTGAGGATGGACTCGATGATGGCCGTGTAGAACTGCACCAACATCTGTGCAGGCAGCTTGGCTTTCCTGAGCTGCCGCAGGAAGTACATCCTCTGCTGGGCCTTCTTGATGAGGGAGCTGATGGTCGGCTCCCACTTGAGGTCCTGGGTGATGGTGGTGCCCAGGAAACGGAAGGACTCCACAGAGGTGATGGGGGAGTCCATCACGGAGGGTGGGGGCGGGGGGACAGTGCTCTTCCTGAAGTCCACAATCATCTCCACTGTCTTCTGGGCGTTCAGCTCCAGGTTGTTACCACTGCACCAGGACACCAGCCGGTCCACCTCCCTCCTGTAGGCGGACTCATCGTTGTTGGAGATGTTGGAGAAGACATTTTACATGAGTTTTATAGAAAATATAGGGCTGCTGCATGTCCGTGGCACTGGCACCGGTGTTCGAAGGCGCCTGGAGCAGAGGGACACCGTGTTTGTGCTCGGGTCGGGTACACACACTGTGCCCCATGTGCTCTGGGCGGGTTCAAACACAATGGTACCGCTCGCGGTTCTGCTCGCTGTGGTCAGGAATGTGGACGTGGATGTGTAGATGTCGATGAGAGAGCGCTGCCACGCGTTATCGCCATCTTGAGCGGGAAGTTCGTCAACCCGTTTATAATCTATTTCTAATTTGTACTTATTCAGTCTAAATGGCGTCGCGTTTCAGTAAATATGTCGTCAGAATGATATTATAGTGTTTCTCCATTACAGGAAAAAACGATTCGGTTCAAATCAAACTTTTTTTCCCATGGGAAGAGCTATAAAATGTATAAATTGAGGCCTAAACAGAACAGTGTCAGTTCATAGTTACATTATGTAAATTAGTGATATAGTATAGTGTAATATCGGGCTTTGTATCACCCGTAATAAAGAAAAGGTGTATATAGTCTAACGTTCTTTTTTCCCCGCAGATCTTTTGATGTGGCAGTGTAAATTGCTGGAAAGAACTTTTACTTAAGCATTACAGGTTAGTTCATGTCTCCAGACAACGATATCCATGTGCTTATGCAGATTGCCCTTGTACTTTCAAAACCTTGAATACTTTCTACAGCCACACAAGCAGTGCATCCACAAAAAATCTGCACAATAATGTGGCAACATTTAGTCCATTTGTGTCCATTCAATGGCCTAGCTTCAGATACAATATTTTTCACATGTCAACACTCCTCTGAAGAGTAATAAGACAGTGCATTGCATGTTTAAAGGTTGTTCTTACAAAACAAATGTGATAAAAGCTTTTTTTATATTATAGATGCAGAATTCAGACGAATCACAACATCCTTGACGTCAAAGTTTATGTTCCAGTTGGATGAGTACGTCACTACACTAATCTACAAGAAGAAAGGAGGAAAACTTGGAGAAATCATGGAAGGATTTGCAGAGGTTTGTAATTTTGAAGGACAGCTAAACACCAAATCAACTTTCTTTTATCTTATAAACTGCGTAAATATTTTTGTTATAGTGCTCTCAACATATCCTGGTCAATTGTTTGACATTTTAGTGCAAATTAGATAAAATCTCACAGTTAAGCCTAAAACCGTCAGTGTGGCGCCTGCTCTACACTAAATCTGGCCCCTACATTGACTCTGGAGTGCAGTGTGACAGGCGCAAAACGACGGACGTCGCGCTACTTTCTTGCATGCTTTCCGGTGGAAGTGTCACACATTCCCCGTAGCGAGTTGGGAGTATTCTGGCGACATCTATTAGTTTATAATGAGAATTATTATCAATTATTTTTATTCTGTGGCTTAGGTTCAGCTGTGTAGCTCGACAATTATCTTACGTAAACAAGGGTGGAAGGAGAATATTTGGTGTGTAAACTATTGCTTTGAGCAGCAATGACGACTGTGTTTTTATTATTTTGTTTGGGCTGCGATTGACAGCTCGCTTGTCAAAGCCCCCCTTGGTCCTCCAGGCAACGCCCTTTTTAAGAGAATTTTCACATTTCCATGTGGGTGGAGTAAGGTTGGGCACAAGTGTTATGTCTTCCTTTTAAAGTTGATCACGTGGAGCCAACTTTTAAATATCTGGCCAATAAAGGTTCCAGGCTCTGTCTCAGAAAATGCTATGTCTAAAATAGAGGGATGTATAAATTTAAGTTGTAATTATTCTTTTAGTTGGTTTCTTATTTTATCATGCATTACATTGTCATAAAATATATTTAATATGCATAAACTATTTTCCCCTGTTCAGGGAGACTCCATTGACACCAGGAGATGTGGTACCCTGAAGGCCTTTGCTGTGTTTCTAAATAAAGACCCAACCAACCTCTTAAAAGAATATGTGGTAAGTTCATACTGAATATATGCAAGTGTCTTTTCATTTAACTTTTTCTCACGATATTTGCTTTTTCTTTAAAAAGACACACACACACAAAAACCTGGGGCCGTATCCTTAAAGTGATAGTCTGTAACTCTAAATAATCCATAATCCACTGTAACTCTCCATAATCATTTATATACTTGTGATCATGGATAAATGATTATGGATATAGGTTTAGTATATCCATAAGTACCTCAGCGCGGATGTACAGAATTCTTTGTTCATTTTTTGTGTAGTTCCAGAGCCTAATAGAGGCATGATTCGGAGGTTCCGCGAAAACAACTGCGCATGCGCGCAGCTAGGAGCATCAGCGCGATGATTGACAGCCCTTGGCATGACTCGATTGGTTAACGTGGACGGTATCATGGATTCTGAACTATAGCTAAGAGCAGGGAAGGCGGGACTCGCCTGTAATATTAATTTTTTAAAAATATTAGAATTTTAAAAAGACATATTTTTTAACAACATTTAAGGCCAGTAGGTGAATTTAACACAATTCTTAAAATGTGTAATTCATTTAGAGTTACATACTATCACTTTAAGGAACATTGATAAGCTTAAAGTTGAAAAATGAATATGTTTAACTTATTGGAAATGGACTTTATAACATCATGATTTTATTTTTGGGTCTTTGTTTAGAATGTGGATTCCTGCGATGCCCAGGAGCAAATGTTAAAGACTTTGATTGGCATTTATGCCAACTTGTCCGATGACAACACTCCAGAGGATGTGGGAGTCATCATTGAGGGATGACCGTGCTGCAGGATCTTCCTGATGTTGCCTCAGCTTACCCTTTGCTTTTTGGCCGGACGTTTGTGCTCAACTTGATCTACCCACCGGATCTCAAGTACATGTTTGAATTTTTCCAAAAGGTGTTGATGGAGCTTGATAACCAAAAACATGTCCAACAAAATTCAAGTTTTGAAAAATAAGCTTCTGGCTAGATCAGCTGTCCGAGGGTGATTTTAGGGTTTAACATACAACCTTAAAAGATAGCACCACACTACTGTATTCCTACTGTTAAAATATGTCACACTAGTGTTTGCACTAGAGCTGGACATTGAGTTTTCTACCTCCAGTTTTAAAAAGTTCTTAATGTCAAGTTTTAGATATCCCAGGACTTATTTAATAATGCCTTTTTGCACTTTGTTTAATATACATACACATTTAAAAAATGTCTTATTTTTGGCCATTAATTAATGTATAATTTTAACTTTGTCATTTCATGTCCATCTTAACTAGAAAATGTATGGTCAAACAAAGAAGAAAAAAAACACTCTTGTCGAGTTGCCCCGCTTATTGAGTTGAGCTGCCTCAGCTGTTTATGATGTAATGCAAACCTGCACATGCGCGTTTCACGGCAGCCGAAGCAAATATGGCGGACATACAGTCCGCAAATTGTATAAAAAGTTTAAATACGAATGAATTAAAACACGAATGACACTTTTAATGCAATTTGAGGCGAGATGTTGATGATTCCATGTTATGTCCGTTTTAATAGTCAAAGTTTCGTGTAAACCACACTGCTGCTGTGTGTTAGCAGTGCCTTTCGAGTTGAGCTGCCGCATACGTCATTTTACTGACATTGGCTGATGACACGTCCTATGGCTAACTCGACAGCTAATAGCTTCCAACTTAGTTTGGTTATTATTTCCATTATCAACCCAACAGACCAGTCAGGACGTCGACTGGTCTGTTAGCTGTCGAGTTAACCACAGGACCAGTCATTGGCCTACGTCAGTAAAATGACAAATGTGGCAGCTCAACTTGACAGGAAAGTTACTGCTCTTAAGCCGTGTTCAGACCGATCGCGATGGAGGCGAAAAAATCGCATCAAACGCCAGGCGTTTTTCGCTTGAATATTTGATGACACTCGCTTCTATCGCGGCGATTACTCGCTCTGTTCGCCTGCGGATTTTCGTCGAGATTTCGCCTCGCCGCGTCATCCAATAGGAGGAGCTTATGGCCAGTTGCCGGTTCCGGTTGTTGTTCAACTCAGCATGGCGGGCTTTGATTTTCTGGAACGAGTCACTATACTTTATTTAATGTGGAAAGCCGAACAGCGGCGGCAGCGACGCCGTCTCTGGGTCCACGATATCCTCCAGAGACGCTCCCAATATGGGGAGTACCACCATCTGCTCCAGGAGCTGCGCCTGGATGACGGTCGATTCCAGCGGTATTTCCGTGTGTCCAGGACCCAGTTTGAGGACCTGCTGTCCCGCGTTGGGGCTCGGATCACCGTCCGGGAGACCAACTACAGGCGCTCTATCTCCCCTGCAGAGCGCCTGTCCATCTGTCTTCGGTTAGTAAATCAAGCGGTTCTCAATAAATAAGATTCCAAATGTTATAATCCAAGTACTTTACATGTAAAGCCATTGTGCCACTGTTTAGCTTTTAGATTTATGCCAAACTAATCAGTTAGTTATGCCAAACTAGACACGATAAGCTCGTTTCAGGTGGGGGTTAGATAATTAATAGTCCATTAGGTTAGATAACTAAATGTTGCAACCGACTGTGATTAAGAAAATTGCAATAAACAGCCAAATAGCGCTATCTAGTGTTTCTTGTGTAGTACCACATTACCTGGGTTTGCAGAAGGGCCTTAATTATGATATTGCATTAGTAATGGTTGATAAAATCATTTTAAATACTTTATTTAAAGTAAATTACAAGTAAGTAGTATAACTTGGCAACAAAATCAATATCCTTTAGTAGAGTTAATAATTTTGCCCTGTGTTTTTCTTTTTTTATAGATATCTTGCCACTGGGGACTCCTACAGGACTATCGCATACAGTTTCCGGGTAGGTGTCTCCACTGTCAGCGGCATTGTCCCTCAGGTGGTGGCTGCTATCTGGCACTGTCTTGTGGAGGAGTTTATGGCTGTGCCCTCCACTGAAGACTGGCTGTCCATCGCTGCAGAGTTCCAAGACCGATGGAACTTCCCTCTGTGCTGTGGAGCAGTGGACGGCAAGCACGTCCGGATTGCAGCGCCCCCCAACTCAGGATCCCAGTTCTTCAACTACCAGGGGGATTTCTCTATTGTCCTCCTGGCTGTTGTGGACGCTCGGTACCGGTTCCGGGTGATCGATGTTGGGGGGTATGGGAGGACCAGTGATGGCGGCATTCTGTCCAATTCAGCTTTTGGTCAGGGTCTGCGGGCTGGCACACTCCATCTGCCTGCTGACCAACACCTGCCTGATGCTGAGCACAGAGGACCTCAGCCTCATGTATTTGTGGCTGATGAGGCGTTCCCGCTGAGGAGGAACATGATGCGACCTTTCCCTGGACGCGGACGTGGTGGCCTTCCCCCGGAGGAACGCGTCTTTAATTACCGCCTCTCCCGGGCCCGCCTTGTTGTGGAGGACGCCTTTGGCATCCTGACCGCACAGTGGAGGTGGTACCGACGCATCATTGAGGTGCGTCCTGAAGTGGTGGAGCAGTGTGTGAAGGCGACATGTGTGCTTCACAATTTCATGCGGGCTTCTGTGGGAGCTGAGGCACCTGCTGTGAGGGGTGCAGCAGCAGAAGAGGTACCACTGCAAGGTTTGGGCCGGGTAGCTGCCAACAACTCTTCCACAGAGGCAAGACGCGTGAGGGATGCTTTCAAAGAGTACTTCATGGCAGAGGGAGCAGTATCATGGCAGCCCACAGAATGATTTCCACCAGTTCTTCTCAGGACTAACAACGGCTTTTTTAAAAGCCACCCACAAACATAAAGAGCTTATTTCAAAACTTCAGCCCTATTGTACATTCTACTATTTTAATGTAACTATATTGCAACAAAATGAACTGTGGACTGTATTTTTTGTTATGTTTTTCTTTGTGTTTGCAGGGACTTCATCCAAACTCAACGCACATTCTGTGAATTAAAGCTCATGTTATGTCCCAACTGATTTTACCTCCAAGGCAGCTGCAGTTCACATCCATCACATCATTCCTCTCCAATCAGTGAGTTATTCAATTAATACCTATAAATGCTGTGGATTTAATACAATCGCTTATGAATGTTTGTCTTTTTGTCATTATTTCTTTTTGCAGATATTCGGCAGGACATGAACTCAAGTGGACATTCTGGAAAAAGATAAACACCTGATTTTGAATAGAAAGGAGGATCTTATGATATCTGTCCCTTTGTTAATGTTGTGGGTTTTTTTTTTGTGTGTATGCAATATTTTTTTAAGCGACTTTCATGTCCCTCCAACTCAATTCCGGTTACTTATGTGGCCCCTCTGAAAATTACAAGCACACCCCTGGTTTAAAATATGTTAAACTATATCATGGTCCTCTTCAGGGGGAGGGATCATTTTGTATATGCTGGGATGGTTTTACTACAATGTCTTGAGACAAGCCCCAAAGGAAAACCTTGTATTTCAGTCTGCCACAATAAATTACAACCAATGCATAAATGTACCTGGTTTGCAGATGCATGATTGAGTCATATTGTGATATTACAATGAATGTATGAAATATATTAGATATAAAATGTTTGCATGCAAGAAGACAAGTAGAATGACATTTTCTAGATTTATTTATAAAAAATAAAATAAAAATACAAAAATAAATAATATTGCGGCCTGACTTGTATGACGAGAGACAGGGATAGAAAGGAACACTTCAACAATGAACAACTAGGAGAGGAGGAAGGAGAACTGGTCCTTCCCTGGAGAAACTGCCAACATCTATAAACTTTTATTTAAAATCTATTGGGCCGAATGTTCCAAATTGAGCACAACAGTGCAATTGTCAAATATGACTTTATTTATTTTTGTTTTTATGACCTCTAGGTCATAGAAGGACAGTCTCTCCAGGGAAGGAGCAAGACTCAGGAGGTAATACTCTATGTGGCTAAACTCCCGGGTGGCCGTTGGTGGAGGGACAGGGCGCTCTTTCAGGGCGAATAAAATGGCCTGCTCCACCGCCGTTGGCTCTGCCCGGGGTTGTGGCCGCCTCCTTTTTCCTGAAAAAAACAAAACAGTAACTAATTAAATTGGAACAAGACTTCAATGTCAAAATACTCACACACATATATATATATATATACAGTATATTACAATATCATGTGTTGGTGTGTTAATGTATAGCCTATTGCATGTGTGTTTTTTTTTTTGGTACTGTAACCTGTACACACCTATGGGAGTGGGTGTTGGTGCAGCAGCAGCAGGGGTTGAAGGACCAGGGACTGGAGACCTGGATGGGACAGGGACAGGATCTTCCTCCAGTGGGGATCCTGGCCTGCTCCAATCATCGTATTGCTCTGTCATGACAGTCAAATATGAAATTAGTCATACTTTACGGTGTACATTTCTCATGAAAGATTTTGCTGCATACCTTCAGTCTCTGATGCCTCCTGGTCCTGGGTGGGCTCTTCTGGGAGGTCCTCTGCTGCCTCCTCCACCTGGCCCATGTTGCTGGTGGTGGCACGAGGGGTGACATATGGGTCCAGGAAAGCAAGGACAGCAGAGAACCTCCACCTCCGCACCGCCCCTGCTGCTGACCCACTCCTCCTGTCCAACTCCTTCCTCCTCTCCTTCAGATATGTGTCCCGCAGACTTTTCCATTTTTTCTTGCACGCACTCTCTGAAAATGTATAGGATATAAATATAAATTGGCTTATGTTTGTGATTTATCTTCCACTTTTGACTGTGATGCTTCTCCCAATTAAACGAGTACAAATTAAATTTGCATTAAAACGTGACATGCTCATTTCAATACTGCACATAATACAATATAAAACATTTGCATGTCCAAAAGTAACTTAATTTAGAGAATACGAAACGAAATAAGACACTCGTAAATAGCGACACATTTTGCGCGGGATACTAGCGCTACGCTAGTAGAGTGAAAATTATATATATAAAAATAAAAAAATTCCCTGGCACCCCCGTCTCCTCGCTGACCCTTCTCCACGCTAGCTCCTTTCTATCCCTGTCTCTGTAGTAATAGTTGCTGGTGTCATACAACTCGGGCCGCTGGCACACAGCTACGATCAGTGAGTCCTCCATGTTGAATGAAAAGATGCTTCGTCTCCGCCGCGGTTCAATGCTACGTCACTGCTCGATTCAGTCCCTGATTGGTCAACGCCCCGCGAATTGACCAAAAAGTTCAGATTTTTCAACTCGAGCGAGTAGGGCGGTGGAGGCGAAATGGCTCTAGGCGCGCGTCAAACGCCCCTTTCGCCACTTTCGTTCCGCTCTTTTCGTTCAAAACGCCCTGTTCGCCTCGCTCTACTCTCGTCATTCGCACCGCCGGCCTGTCATTCGCTCCTGAGCGCACCCGGCCATAGACATAACATGTAAATCACTCGCCCCTGACTCCTCCATCGCGATCGGTCTGAACACGGCATTACACAGCAGCAGTATAGTTTCACAGGAGCAGTTGACTGCTTAAACCAAACTTTACACAAAACTTTGACTCTTAAAACCCACATACAACATGGAACCATCAACATCTTGCCTCAAATTGCATTAAAAGTGACATGCGTGTCCTACTTCGTTCATATTGAAACTTTTTACACAATTCAGGGACTGTATGTCCGCCATCTTTGATTGCTTCGGCTGCCGTGAAAAGTGCATGCGCAGGTTTGCATTACATCATAAACAGCTGAGGCAACTCATCTCGACAAGCGGCGCAACTCGACCGGCCACCAAGGGGCAGTGTAGTGGAATGTCTCTTTTCAATTTAGTTTTTTGCCAGCTACAAACCCAGCCATGTGATTTGTAAAGAACATAATTTCACTTGAGAAATGGACGAAACTAATAATTGTATTTTAAAAGGCATAAAACTGCTGAGTGACACACTCAGCAGTTATCTGCCTTTTATTTGACTATTGTGATTTCTAAATGGCATCATTTATTCATTATTTCATTATATTGTACATACATCAAAGAAAAGTAAACTGGGTAAAGTAAAACGAATACAAAGGACTTATAGGAACTGAGATGGGAGTTTTGAAATGACACGTGGCCTCGTTTTGTAGCTGGTGATCTTCAAATTTTATTTTAAAAACTCATTGTACTCCTCCCTATATGGTTGGTTTATTTTGCATTCTATAGCGTGAAATGAGGTCTTTCTTTTTAATGGCCAAAAATAATGTATATTTAAATGCCTGGTTTAGCGGCTCTTTGCGAAGCTATTATTGGGCAGCTGTTTCAGAAGCTTAACTTTACCAAAACTTCTGGTATTGTGCAAAGTTTTAGAAACTTGAATCCAAATGCGTTTGCATTAAAGGTCTGCACAAGAGTTTATTGTAATTGAAAATGTATTGCATTTTTTACGTCTGTTTATAGATATGTTTGTTAAAAGTGAACGTCTGTTTCCCAATTGTTAGATATTAACACAACAGCTTCCTTGGAAAAAAGACAATTAAAATCCTCACAATTGGTTCAGCTGTTCTAAAACATATGCATGCATTTAACAGATTAAATGCAACTGAAAATTGCATCACCTTTTATACAAATGTTTTATACAAGTAATGTATTCATGTTCCAAAACTGCTAAATAAATGCAGATTGTGGTTTAAAACATGTTGTTTTTTCGTTTCTTGGAAACCTGTACATTGTGTAAGGATTACGTAACAATTTTGCATCAAGCGGTTGCATGTAACTGTCTTGAGTAAATATTAAGGGGTTTTATTCATAATATTTAGTAAAAGAACTAGTGTTGTTTCTATGTAATTACATTAAATAGAGGTTACTTAATATCTTTGCGTTTGGTGTAGGAAGATAATGTCTTAACATTTATTCAAGCATGTTGAGTAAATTTTATAAGATATTTTATATAGGTATTACAAAATGTAGTTGAGTATCTGGCACTTAATACATTTGGGTAGTAACTATGCAATGCAACTAGACTATATATATTTAATCAATCTAAATAAATTCTATTAAAGGATGTTAAGTACATAATATGTAAGCAGTCTTATTAACAATTACTCAATGTGGTTGCATGCAACCGCTTGACGCAAAGCTTTTGAGTAAATTGGACGATTTATTTTTTTGAGTGTAGTATTTGACGCGATTGTTTCAACACAAGTTTCCGAGCTGTATTATACTTATTTGCTTACATTGCGTAGCCTTGTGTTACTTCCAAGGAAAATGAGAAAATAAATTATTTAGTTCTTTTCAAATGGTTAACTTGTTTAACTAAGCTAGCAAACACCATGTGCCTTATTTCCCGCGGATGGAAATTAGTCCGATTAACGCTAAACTAATATTCAATTGAGTTTTAAACCAGCGTTAGATAACATAGCATAGGCTATGCCTTGTTTCATGTGACGAAAAGTTGAATATCTCTCAGTTCCATTTTGACGCAGGAGAAAAAATACCTAGCATCTAAAAATATAATGTTAGCCGACGCTGATGTGACGCAATGACGACATGTGTACAATGCAACACAACCCAAAGACAATAATGAATATACTGTCACATGAAAAACAATTGAAAAGTTACTTACATTAAACCCCACGTTCCACTTCGTGTTCGTTCGAGTCTGCTGGGATCGGCTGGGACTGGGAGAGAGCGACAGCCGTGTGATCGCGCGTTCGTCTTGGTCACACTGCGCATGTGCTAATTCAAACAGGAGCTTTAATTTTTTGAATACATTTCACTCGCATTTTCACATTGATAGAACATGGACTAATTCTATAATTGAAGTAACTGTTACAGTGTCTATATAATACCCCTTTTTTAAATGATTAAATCACGTTTTGGTGCACAATTTTAATTAGCAAAAGTAAGTAAACACAGTTTCTTATATAAACAATGTAGGAATTATATAGTTTTATATGATAACATTTAGTACACCTAAAATTTATTTTTATCAGTGTATGCAGTAGTTTTAATGTCTGCGGGTTATTCCAGAGACTGGCCTGCTACAAGGAGTTGCTCCTTTTAACCAGATTGTCATTGTGTGCGGGGCAGAAACTCGCCAATGTAACCCTGCTCACAAGTGCCACCTGGTGGTTGTTTTGGTCATTGCAACGTCACTGGGAGGGGGGAAAATAAAAGACGCGTGATTCACACGTGAGTCTCGTGTGATTCACGCGTGAAAGGCGACAAAACGGAATGGGACCTACTGTATGCTGTGGCCATCCTTTCTGCATTTTGGTCATCGTATGTTTGTGAAGGGCAAGTGTTTAACCCATGGCATGCTCTACGTTTTCATCTGTTGCAGCACATAAACAGCCATCATGCAGCTGAAAGAAGTCAGATATGTAGCATGATGGAAAATGCTTGAAACTCAGCAGACCATCTGTGTGGTCCCTTGCGGATTCAGTCCAAAATTGGAAATTCACATAGTACACAATGCCATGAACACATGAGAAATGTAGAAAACCACTCAAAAACTTTTCAGAATTTAAGGAATATATATGTATAAAAAATGAAATCAGATGTTACCTCAGGCTTTTTGTAATTGATGGTCAAAAATTCCCTTTGACTGACGTGTTCGAGTTGATGCAGAAGTATGACAACAGATCTCCAAGTTTTAACATCTGTATTTAATTTCCTTACAATCAGATACAGAAATTCCAACAAAAGAGAGCTCCTAAAACTAATCCATGTCCCTCTCTGGCCCTGTGCTGACTAACCCCAAGCCTCCAGCCCAAGCATATAAAAAGAGCAGATGTCCAGGAAGAAGGGGGCGTGTCGTATCAGGCAGCTTCCGGTCCAGGGTCCGGCCTTTTCCTTCGTCTCGCCAAACCTAAAACAGAAATCATTCACACACACACTACCCCTCCCTAATTCTATAGAAATATTACTTCCTTGAGATAAGACAGGAGGCTTTTCAAGGTCCACCTCCTTCTTCAAACAACGAAAGGATTAGCAGAATCCCCCCAGATTAACTATCATTAACTCATTATTCTGCACTTTTGGACTACCAAGGAACAAGGGGAGACCAGGTCTTTTTGCTTGGGAAAGAGACAGAGTTCAATTCCGGGTCAATCAAATTCACATCTGCTTTTAGTCTATATTTATTACAACATAATATAATGAACACCTTGGGGTAGACATCTTTGAAGTTTAATAGCTCCTCGGGCCTGTTAGGTAAATTGGTGATGGAGCCAGACAAGCCTTAAGGTCTTTCTTTGCAGGCTAGAAACATTCAATTGTGTTATGACGAGAAAAAATGTCAAACATCAATACGTTCATGTTTTATTTCAGCAGGGCCAGTACAACTCTGTCACAGGCTATATCCACACGAAGACAAAACGCTTATAATTTCAGAAACTTTTTCTGTAAACACGGAGTTAGCTCAGTAAATGTGTGCGTCCATATGAATGTAGTCAATACGCCTGAAAACGCTGTGAAACTATGCCAGACCTGTTGGTGGCGCTGTGACGCAATGACGGGATCAAGCCCAAACTTCCGTGGGCATGCGCGGAATTTTGTAAACAGACAACATGGCGAGTGGGCGAGCTGGTACTACATTAGTATGGACGGACGATGAGGTTGAACTGTTGCTTCGGGTCGCACTGGATTACAAAACCAACAAGCTACATTGTTGTTGTCATTATTTTCTGAGTGCGGCGCATGCTGCTTTAACAAGAGGCGGGGCGATGACGCAAGCGTCTCAGATACATTGCGGAGAGGCAGTAACCACGGAGCGGCATATACGGAGTTTTGAAATCTTTCCACTCTGGGACCTAGTTTCAAAAATGTTCGTTTACACCCCCCCAAAACGCCGGCCTCGTATGGACGACACACTGGATTGATAAAGTATTTTTGCGTTTAGGCCTGAGCTTGACTCCGTGTGGACAGGGCCACAGTATCAACCTTTTGGGATGCCAGAAGGTCAAGAGTCCTTGTTTATTGTAACTTTGTCACATTTTGAAAAGGAACGACCCTAAATGCAGGACTGCCAAAATAACGGATTAATAAAAAGCAATACAAATCAAGATCTAGTAAAAACACAAAGAACGAGGACAGAACTGAAACAGACGAGGAATGACAATGACGGAACAGGGAGTGAAGGAACACACAGGGCTAAATACAAGACTAACAAGACACAGGTGAGACAGATGAGGGCGAGGCAGGTGATCAAACAGGAAGTACAACCAAAGAAGACACAGGGATTTAACAAACTACAAAATAAAACGGCAAATAAATCTAAACCATGACAAACTTTTGGAACTTTGACATACTCTTGCCTCTTCAGTGCTTTTAGATGTTCTATATTAGGCAGACCAACCCTGGTTCCTCTTCCCATCCACGGTACCAGAATAGAAGTGCAGTAAGCTGAGGGGCTGTATGGGTTTTTGCTACTTCCTGAAATGGAAAATTAAAGATAGTGTGTCTTGAATAATGTCTTATATTATTATAAGAGAACGTACCTGATAAAAAGCCTTCAGCAATATGACATTTATCCAGATCTGACCAGGCCTTTTCAATGTTGATCTCCAAATCACTCTCTGGAATACTGTCTGCTGAAGGCGTTTTGAAGGTGCCAACTGATAAAACAAGGGAAATCTTTTAGAGATATGTTTAAAGTTAAATGTGAGTACCTGAATTCCGCAGGGTAGCCCAGCAGACTACGCAAACTAAATACCCTCAATCATCATCGGGGATGTGTTGTTTGTAGAACTCTTCAGCGGTTTGCACAGATTCAAATTTATAATCCTTTTCTTGATATGTAACGCAGAGGACAGCAGGATAATGGAGAAAAAACTTGACTCCGTTCTGGTGTAATGGCCCGACATAATCTTTAGAATTCTGCTTGCTAAGGCAGCTCAAAAGTCCTCTGCCCAGGGCTCAGAGCCTCAGTATAGCGGGATCCTATGGTCACGTTACTAGTAGACACGGCGGCCATACTGGAGGACAAACTAGGCGTGCAACAGCCATGCTAGCTACTTATAGCTAGCATGGCTATAGGTGTGAACACCCAGGCACTTGAAGCTGTCCACCAGCTCAATGTCCTCCCCGAAAGTGGTTTTCTCCTGAAGTTGATTACCATCTCCATACTGGTGTTCAAGCACAAGTGGTTGCGCTCACACCAGTCGACAAAGTCCTTGATAACCGACCGATATTCCAGTTCGTTCCCCTCAGACACACAGCCCACGATGGCGGAGTCGTCGGAGAACTTCTGCAGGTGACAGCTGTGTGTGAAGTCTGAGGTGTAGATGGTGAAGAGAAACGGTATTTCCCTTATTCTTTCTTTCTCAAGTTGGTTATTAAAATTCTTCACCAACAGAGTCAAGACCATTACTTATAAGGTTGCCAATTTCTTTTGATAGTGTGACACAGGCGTCCATTTTGTTGGCGATGTCGGGTGTGCCGTTACTGTTACGCAGGATAGGTTCACACTGTGTGTTACCGACGCCAGCCCTAGGGGAAGCTGTGCGGTAGCAAGCGGCACACAGCTGAATAGTCTGTGTTGCCTTAAAAATGACCTGGAGCTGTGGAAAGACGGAGGGGAGACATGTTAGTCTGGCCACAGCTTCTTTAATATTGAGAATCGTTCATTCTTTCTTTCAATATTAATAAAAAAAGACAATTGGACAACAAAATAAAGTATAAATTGACTAAACAAAAATAATAAATTCTAAAATAACCCATACATTGATAATACATATTACATAAAAATATAAAACATACATTTTTACATTCACTCCATACCATATTAAAGTTACTTGACTACAGAAAAATGCATTCAATAGACATTTTCCTTACTTCCTGTCTCTCTCTCCTACAGTCTATTGCCGTTTTTCCACAGTCCTAGTACGGTACGTTTTGACTCTACACGGCGCGCCATGGCCCAGTTGCTTTTCCATCAAAAATAGTACCCCCAGGATGTCCTCAGCGTTGTCAGACCACGTCATTTACGTGTGACGCGTAACTAGTACTGGTGCGGTGCATGGATTTATTATAATACCAGAGCAAGTGTTTAATAGATAATTCAGCACAGCACGAGTAGTTTTTGAAAATGCTTATGTCTTAAAAGAATGACTCAGACACTGAAGTCAATGGTGCTGACTGCTCTGCACAATCTGAATGGACCTGTAGCAACAGCAGCCTGTGTAGCAGAGGAGCAGGGCTGCATGTCCGAGGAGACTGCTAGGCTATAGCTAATGCTAGCGCTAGCTCGAGACTCTGCTCACTCACTAACCCTGGATTCCAAAGCTACTACTGTACTACACTTAACACATCTATCACTGCCCTCAGAGGAGGATCCGGGGTTTAAACTCGTCATATGGCAACTCCAGCAGTAAAGGACCGAGGGAGAGACAGCGGCAGCCATAGAGGTAGCGAGTTAGCGGCTAGGCTAGGATAGGCTAAGCTAGGCTAGGCTAGTCCGGACTCGGGTCTGGACTACAGCAGACTCCGAGACCAGACAAACAATCGATACCCAAACCTCAGCTACAATAATAATAAATGAATGAAACAGAGTCTTGGGATACAATCACAGATTTATTGAAAACAAAAGTAAAGTGCAAAACCAACAGTTTATAAAGTCAAGAGTACGTATGTCTAAGACCAGGTCCAGACCAGGTCCAGACGAGAATACTCCGGTCACTCATTACCCGTTGGTAATCTCCACACTTAATAATAATAATAATAATAATAGATTTTATTTATAACGCACCTTTCATATGCAAAGCACATCTCAAGGTGCTACATCAGAATAAAAACACATATATACAAATGTTAAAATACATTAAAACATGGGCTGCAGATTAGCAGTAGGCCTTCCTGAATAGCTCCGTTTTCAGGTGCTTTTTGAAGCACTCCACAGACTGTGGCGCCCGCAGGTCTTGGGGCAGGGCGTTCCACAGGCGTGGTGATGCGGCTGAAAAAGTCCTGTCTCCCATGGAGTGAAGGCGTGTGATTGGCTGACTGAGACGGTGGGTGTTTGTGGACCGGAGGGATCGTGATGTGGACTGTAGGGTGAGGAGGTCTTGTAAGTACTCTGGGGCGTTGCTGTGGATGCATTGGTGAGTGAGAAGACAGATCTTATATTCAATACGGAGGTGTATGGGGAGCCAGTGGAGTTTACGGAGGACGGGGGTGATGTGCTCGAACTTGCGTGTCCTCGTCAGGACCCTGGCAGCACTGTTCTGAATATGCTGAAGCTTTTGAAGGCTTCTGCCAGGGATCCCGACGAGGAGGGCATTGCAATAGTCCAACCTGGAGGAGACAAAGGCGTGGACCAGCTTCTCAGCATCACAGAGGGAAAGAGAGGGGCGGAGTTTGGCAATGTTTCTTAAGTGAAAGTAAGCAGTTTTGGAGATATGTTGGATGTGTGGATGAAAAGTGAGGTGGGAATCAAACCTGACACCGAGGTTTGTAACACAGAAGGAGGGGGTGATGGTATGACCAGAGAAATTAATGCAGTTTACAGACAGGGAACGAAGTTGGTGGGGGGTGCCAATTTGTAGAGCCTCTGTTTTAGTGCTGTTTAGCTGGAGAAAGTTTTGAGACATCCACGCCTCTATCTCCTCCAGGCAGGAGGTGAGTGCAGCGGGGGTGGATGAGGGAGAGGCTGGGGAATGGATCAAGGGGACAAGAGGAGGGCCGCATTTTACGCACAGTTCCCTCAACTTCTCTCTCAGTAGCATTGGTGAACTGAGAGAAGCCACCTCCTGAGTCTGCTACTGCGCAGCCTCGGATGAGGTTGCCACTAGCAGAGAGTGAGGTACGGATCTTGTCTGTCTTAGAGGTGAAATGTTCCATGAATTTATTGCACTCGTGTTCTGACTGGTTATTGCAGACTTTGGTCTTTGGTTTGATGAGTTTGTTTACTATGGAGAAAAGTTGTTTTGAATTTCCAGGGTTGTTGTTTATAGCGTTTGAATAGTATTGTGATCTGGCAGTGGTTAGTGCTCTTGAATAGCGTTTTTGATGGTCCCTATATGCCAGATTGTGAACTGTTAAATTGTTTTTCACAGCACGACGCTCAAGAGCACGGCCTGCTGTTTTTAACTGCCGAAGCTCGTTGGTAAACCACGGTGCTGATTTTGTAAAAGTGACTGTTCTTGATTTGACAGGGGCGTGGATATTAAGAAGGTTCTGAAGCGCTGTATTGTAATGATTTACAGAGTCATCAATGGAGGTGTTTGGTGCATTACTAACTAGGTTAGTTATGTCCAGGTTAAGGTCTGTTTGATTGATGTTTTTCAGGTTCCTGAATGTTAAAGAGTGCTGTGGTTTACAGAGGTTGTGTGGGGGGAGATCAATGGATATAACTTTGTGATCAGAGACACCAATGTCATAAACGTGCGGTTTTGAAATGGGAACTGAGTCTGTGATGACAAGATCCAAAATATGTCCTTTGCTGTGGGATGGGACGTCCACGTGCTGCTGTAGACTCAGGCAGTCCAAAAGGTCCAGAAATTCAGCTGCAAAGTGGTCTGAGGGAGTGTCAACATGTATGTTTAGATCACCAAGTATCAAAACATTTGATGAGGAAGTGCAGATAGTTGCAAGGAAATCATGGATTTCCTTGATAAAGTCTGGGTGCTTTTTTGGTGGACGATAGATCAAGAGTATTGTTATGGGAAGTGGGTATTTACCTTTGAGTCCCAGACATTCAAATGTGGTCAGATTTGGAAGGGGGATTGGGGTCAACTTCAGGGCGGAGTGGTGTAAAATGGCCAGTCCCCCACCTCTGCCAGTGGTGCGTGCTCTCTCAGCATAGGCATAGCCAGGGGGACATGACTCATTTAAAGCAGAGAAAACATCCGGTTTTTGCCATGTTTCTGTGAGGCACATGATGTCAATGTCCTTCTCTACTATATGGTCGTAGATTAGGCATGCCTTGTTGGAGAGTGACTGTACATTAAAAAGTTCTACTTTAGTGTTCTGTAAACGAGCCATCCTTGGCAGAGGTCTGAGAACTGTAAAATCCACTCCAGGATTTTGCTTCCGCCGCGTCCACTGTAGAGCAGGAGCTGCGCTTGTAGTCTCCATGGTGACAGCGTTCTGATGACGCGTTCGAGCTGCGACGAAGCGTGTCTCCGACCAGACCGCCGGGACAGTGTTGCCGCTGGACTTTTGCCGCTTTAGCCAACGACCCGACCCCCGATGGACATAGCGAGGTCTCCGGAGGATACCCAGGTGTTTCAGGATTCCGGTGTCAAGTTGATAGCGGTGATTGTTCAATTCCAGCAGGCGCGATGGTGTATACTGGAGCATGTCTCTGGATGGGCTCCGATAGCCGAGTGCGAACTCCACGACAGGCTGATGTATCTGACCACTCAGAAGTACTTTTACTCTACACACTGAAGTGGTCCACCACAGGACATTTGGTAGCAGCACCAGGATCAGCGCGTAGGACATCGATATGCCAGTGTTGGAAGGTGGGTACATGCTAACAGTGGCTAATGCTGGTTCCAAGTTGTACTCAGAAAAAACAAAAAACAAAAAAACTGTGTGGGATGCATTCATTACTGACTGTCAATCAGTGAAAGCCTACTGTTCATCAGCATGCCAGATTACTCTATGACCGCTTCTGGTCATTGAAAATAGCATAAAATGTCATAAAATGCGGAGAAGCGGCGAACAGTCAACGCCAGCGTCCTCTCTACAGCCGCAGAGGAGCCGCATTAGCTCTACTTCGCATGGCTGCTGATAATGATTTTATCAAATCTGGCAACGTGGGTGTGTGGGGGAGAAGTAGGACTCCGGCTGCATAGCTTTATTGTCTGGCGTTCCAATACGGGACGTCCATGAATGTCAATATGATGTTTTAGGCTGGATATGAGACGGAGGCTCAGGGACTTAAGGGAAGGGATTCTCATACAAATATACACACAACAGCTTAAATACAAGCACAAAACAGAATGACAACACATGAATACTGCAGATTATTCGAGATAAAGCACAGTAGCACAGGGAGGACGTTAGCTTAGCTTGCTATCGATAGCTAAATGAAGCTTATTGTAGCTAGCTCACTGTGTACAACAGACAATCAAGCATTTACACAGTAAATACATTTCAGTGAGAGCTTTAGGGGGTTCGTACACTGCAAAAAGCACCTTCCTAAAAACAGGGGAAAAAAATCTTAAAATAAGACAATTTGTCTTGTTTTAAGCAAAAAAATCTGCCAATGGGGTAAGCATTTTTTTCTTGCTAAGAATTCTTATTTCTAGAATATTTTTCTTATTATAAAATAAGAAAAAACCCACTAAATTTAAGCAAATAAATTGCTAGAAATAAGCAAAATGTCCTCAGAAAATGGAAAAATTTCAGAAAAACATTCTTATTTTATGACAAATTGTGGAGTATTTTGCTTAAATGTTGCTTGATTATAGCAAAATGTTCTAAATTCTAAAAAAATGTAAGCAAAATGTTCTTGATAAATGCTAATATTTAAGGATTTTTTTCTTATTTTGGAAAAGAAAATCTGAATAATTTTACTTTTGTGTCTAGATCTAAGCAAAGTTTTCTAGATTTCAAGACTAGTGCAAAAAATGTTTGCTTATAACATTACTTGTTTTACTGCTCTAGTACCTATTTAAAACATCAATACACTTAATATCAGACACAGCTTAAGGAGAATCATCTTAAAATAAGACCACTTCAAAAACAGGATTTCTAATGATAACAAATTTATTCAACAGAACATTATTCATCTCTGGTCATAGAGGATTGCATTTACAGTACAATAGATATGAAAATAGCAAAATTTGTATTGTAAATAAAGTGCCAGCGGCACGGTGGCTGAGTGGATAGCACTCACGCCTCTCAGCAAGAAGGTCCTGGGTTCGAATCCCGGCCGGACCAGGGCCTTTCTGAGTGGAGTTTGCATGTTCTCCCCGTGTCTGCGTAGGTTTCCTCCGGGTACTCCGGTTTCCCCTACCACTAAAAATATGTATAATAGGATTGGCATGCGCCTCCTGTTCGGCGACCCCGCTCCCATCTCTCTGTGGAGTGAGAGGACAAGTGCCCAAAAATAACAATTGTAAACCGCTTTGTGACTCTGGTCTGTGAAAGGCGGTATATAAATAAAGATTACTTACTTACTTACTAAATCTTTTTTTTCACAATGCCAAACATTTTTGTAGCTCGTAATGCCGTCACCTTTTTAATGTTTCTAATGCAGGCTAACTGATAACATGCTTTAGCCTTGCCCTAGCCTAGTGCCACTAGACTCTTCAAACATAAAATATCTGAAATATCCTTTTAATGTACTTTGACTAGTCAGATTAAGACGCCAATGTATATCTGCTGTTTAACAAACACTTGAAGCTTTGAAATAACATAACTCGAACAAAAGTAGAGATGGTAATAGACACACTCACTCAGTGAAGGACCTCCACTCAGCGATGGCTTTTTTGTACGTGGAAGTAGTATCTCGGTCGTGGATAGAGTCCATTAGAATCTCAGTTTGCAATACTGAGAGCAGTGTTGAGATACACTTTGGGTATGTGAGGTGGAAGGCATAGTAATAGGCCATCAGGTACACAAGTCCTTCATCCAGCTTGGTACTTGCAAAGGTGGTCACCGGTGTCTTATCAATTGCGATCATGCAGTTGTCCTTGGAAATGAGCAGGACTGGGCAAGACAGGGGTCGCTGTTGAAGATATCCCTCAGGATCTTCTGCTGTCTAAATGACAAAACATAAGAATACAAAATTTAGATGATCAATGTGAGAAAATAAATTATGAGTGTGTTTTTTTATATAACATCTGCCCTAACATAAGGTAACAACTCAAACAGTTTACTGATAAACCTGAGGGTAAAATCTAAACAAATCTCACCTTAAGTACATGAAAAAAGGCTTCGCTGCAAGGGCCCAACTTCTTGGGTGGAGATACACCAGATGGAAAAAGGTCTGGAAGAGCTGTAAATACTGCTAAGGCATGGTCCGCTAGTTTGAAGAAAGCACAAAAAACAAAGCACAAAATACCCCATTAGCATCTATTCTGAACTTTATCTACCCTAATTTATCTTTATCATATACTTGCTAATGCAGTCTCACCACTGTTGAGTGTCTTGGGAAGTTTCATGGCTTTTTTCATTACTCCATAGAACTTGACCTTCGAAAAGAAGTCTTCCCATTTCACCATAGTCTCTGCAATGAAGTTTGAGTTCTTGGGTTGGACAATTCTCTGCATCTCATCCAAAACCTTGAAACAGATACATTAGCTTAGTGCAAATATTTATCCATAAATCACAACGTAAATAGCATGTTTTTCACCAACAATAATAGAAGCATTTGTTGTAATTTGTATGTGAAAATGCAACTCAATTTACGACATGGTAAAAGCAATATTACTTACATGATCCAATTCGTTAAAACAGGGATAGGCTTCTAGGACTTTTGTTGGTCTGTCTGACTCCTTCAGAACACCACATGTGATAAAGCGTCTTCTTGCTTCAAACTCCAGGTTGAGTAAATGGGTTACAGCTGCTTTGTTTGGCTTTTTAGACTTGTACATGTCTTGGAGGGTCTTGTAGTGTCTACTCTGGCTCTTTTGGCTGTCCAGCAGGTCAGGAGAACTCACTGCAAGCAATAAAAAGGTGTTGTAAGTTTTAAGGATTTAACAGTGAATATAAATGAAAAGACACTGAACCTGCTTCATCTTCATTGCTTTCGTGACTTGGCTCTGGAGTACTGGTTGTAGTAGGTGACTTTTCCAGAAGGATGGTTGATGCTTTACTTGATGTGGTGGAGTCTCCATCAAAATCACTGGAGTCACCCTTCTCAAATGTGAGGCGACGTCTTTTTAAGGGGGTAGAAGCCTTCTTTGGACTTTTGACATTTGAGAGTCTCTTCATAAGCCTCTTACCAACATGCCTCTGCAAGATGAAGCAAAACTTATTAATACGGTATGTATTACAGATTACACAGATACTGAGGCAGGAAAACATACATTATCTTTTAACATCGGGTAGTATTCCACCAATCTCTTCGCCATAGAATCCACCTCATGCTTGGAAGGGTATCTAGATTCTTGCAGTGCTCGTGCAATTGATATCATATTCGTCATGGTGTTCCTTATGAGTCTGCAGAAGAGCTCTTTGGAAAGCTGAGTGGGAGTCGTGCCAAGACGCTTTTGTTCAAAGAAAGATGAACGAGCCTGCTCAAGTTCACCATCTGTGTAGACCAGGGGTGCTCAATACGTCGATCGCGATCTACCAGTCGATCGCAAAGGTAGTATTGGTAGATCGCATTAAATAAATAAAAAAATACACATTCTAAACGAATATATACAAAAAACTCCGGGCAAAGTGGAGATTTTTGAAAACTCCGTTAATGCATTTGTGTGTAGACAGAGATAACCAGAGTTTTGCGTTCTCGCACGCCACAGTACCCTCCTAAATTCCTCTGATCACTGAAGCATGGATCATACTACCTTAAAAACTGTTCGCTGTGAGATGCTCGCAGCAGCAAACATCCTCCACATCAGAGAGCAGCAAAGTGATCGCGGGGACTCACGCTCGAAAACAACCAAACCAGGACTAAACCAGGACTAAACCAGGACTAAACCAGGGCTGAGGACGGGGTCAGTGCTTGTAAACATATGTCTTTACTCTGAGTGTCTTCTATGACTGTAAAAGTGCCGTTACCGGCGTCTGCATCAAAGCTCCGCCCACTTCTGTGTTTTTCCCCAACGCAGGACAGGACGTAAGAGACGCACATGTTTGGAATGTTACGAATGTGACTGATAACGCAGATGTGTGGATGCAAATTATTTTATAAACTGAGGAGGGGAAATATTTGGATTTAAAAAAAACAGGCATGGCACATGGACATGGCACCACAGTCAAATGACATCTGTGTTTTACTCAGTAATGTTTTACTGACACTTAGGTGACTGCACATGCGCAACAACCGCGCTCAGTGCAGGAAAGCTAAACCACGACAAACTTGTCAGCGAGTTGCCACCAATTTTCCGGACTATGCATCCCTGGCCGATTCAATTCAGTGCAAGTCATCAGAGTAAACTCGGGAAATGACAAAAAATGTACATAGGTAATTGTGTTGTGTTGTGCTATGCTCATGCGGTTTTGCATGTACATAATACAATACAATACAATACAATTTATTCTTGTATAGCCCTAGGTCACAACAGAAGTCATCTCAGAGGACTTAACAAAACCATTGAAATCACCAACACAGGTCAGAGAATCAACAGTTAAAACACATGAAGAATATAAAGCACACACAGAAGAAAATGTCCATACATGTTGTAGAATGTTAAAGTGTCCTGATCATCACCAATCCTTTCTGTTGGACACTAACTGTCCAACAAGACAGTCGGAGACATAAACATACATTGTAGATATAAAGAATATTTTTTGAAATATATGATTTGCATTTTTGTAGTAGGTAGATCATTTTGACTTGATCCTTTTATAAGTAGCTCGCATGCTGAAAAAGTGTGAGCACCCCTGGTGTAGACTATGTACTCCGGACTGGACATAATTAAGAACTTCGATGTGGTAGGTTTCTCCTCTGGCGGGACATCGGCTGCATCAGATAGTTTGGTTGGCTCCATAGCCCTGACAGCAGTCTCCACCTAAACACATTGCAGTTGTTATTAACATAGACAATGCAAAATCATATATCAAATATATTGTAAATAGTTACATAACCTCTAAAAATTAAGATAGGGCCCAACATATACTCACTTTTTCATCTTTATTCACAACAAGCCACAGTGCCCTGCGCCTCAGAAAATTTTCTGGACCAGGAAAAAGATCTTTGATGTCATCCCTTGAGAGTGACTGTAGTAAATCCTCCCCAATATTAGCAGCTAAAACACAATACCACAATTAGATGTGCAAATTAATTTGTCACTTTATTGTAATGAAAAAACGTGTGCTATCAGCTAGTCACTGTATATTAAGTTTTAAAAATATCTGACAAATGTTTACTACCTCACTAAGTTTAAGCTAACCGAAACACCATTCAATTTAAGTCTATTAATACGTTTGAAATTAAATAAAATACCTTTTAGAGTTCCAATCGTAGTTTCGTCAAGTCTATCCATCGTTGGACCAGCGTATCAATAGTCGTTTTATTCTAAATTAGTTTTTAAGCCTCCGCTCGATTGTTTTCGCCATTTGCCAGAAGGTTCGTTGTGATAATGCCCGCGCAGTCGCGCGCACCCTTAGATTTGAAAATGAACTAGTCCATTATGTGTAATGGGGGCGTCAGCTAGGTTCCTCATACCTTTATATTTAGTTATGTTTCTAAATCTCTACGAGCAATGGACACAATTCTGTTTTAAAATACATATAAATCATTTAAATATTTTTTCATCTTTTTAACAGATGAGCAAATGATCATCTACCCCTTTACGACTGAAGTAGTCAAACCCAAAGTGTACAAGGCATCATGGGTAAAACGCTGGAATAAATATTAGCTTAGCACGCAAGTTAGTTCTCTCTCGAAAAGTTACAAAAATGATTTGGCGTTGTGTTATTTGCTTTGTGTTCGTTGCCCTTACTCTCAAATCTTTACTCAGTCACATTCACTCTGCTCATAGCCGAAGCCCAGACTTTCGCGTGGTTTGTGGAATCGATGGGTGTGAACGTGAATATAGAGTTTACAACTCACTCTGGTACCACATCCGGAGAAGCCACGCCGAACATCTTCTCAGTCATCGAGACGGGACAGCCGCGAACCCGTGGAGGGATCGTAATCCGTGGGTTTACAGACCAAAGCAGGAGTGCCCGGACTCAGAGCCTGAAGCACGGGGTCGACCTGCAGGAGATACCGCCGCGAGTGGAGCCGCTCAGAGCAACGCTGTAGAGACAGAGCACCGGGAGGACGACTGCGTAGCGCCCGGGGAAACACAAGGACCCAACCCGGACTGTTTAGCTTTGGATGATCATTTCGGTGACTTTACTAATATTTCATTGTTCGATGGCTGTGAGCAATGCGCCCTTGATACCTCTTCTTACCGGGAGTCGCCGCGCCGAGCTGGGACCAGCCCTGATGGGGCCTCAACTGAGCCTGTCCACCCCCCGGAGAATACTTCTGCAGCATCGTACTGTGAGGTAAAAGTCACGTGTTCAATATAGTAAGTAAGTAAGTAAGTAAGTAAGTAAGTAAGTAAGTAGTAAAGTAAGTAAAGTTTATTTATAAAGCGCTTTTCACAGATAAAAATCACAAAGTGCTGTACAGGACAGTGGGCAAATACAAACAATATAAAATACACTTACACACATTACACATTTTATGTACTTAAAAGTGACATCAGTGAGAACCCAATCAACTAAAAGCTTTCTTAAATAAATAAGGTGCCTTCTACAAAACTTTAAAGTTATGTGCATAGGGATGTGAATTGAGAATTGGTACATGAACCATAGATGTATATACTGACTAGATGGCGCCTCTGACGCTGCTGTCCATTGGAATGATGCGTCAGCGCGGCCGCCATATTGGGCCGGGGGAAGCCGCGTCTACTCTGCATTAGTTCAACGATTAAAATCATATGTATGTGAGCAGGATTACTATTGCAACAACACATCATCAGTAGGGTAAGAAGTTTATTCATTTCATTATTTAATTACATTTTGTATGGGTGATGCTCATCAACCATTTGTCCCTTTTTTCCAAATGAGAATCGATAAGGGAATCGATAAGGAACCGAATAGTTAAGCAGAATTGAAAATGGAATCGGAATCGTAAAAATCATATCAATTCCCATCCCTATATGTGCAGTAGGTGTACATGTATGCAATTATTTACCATTTACAAATGTAATAATTTAGTAAATTATTGACCTGGACTACTGTACAGTACTGTATGTGGTAACTGGTAACCCCAATAATTTTACTATTAATAGTTTTACTATATGAATTCAGAAGCTTGCGGTTTAAGTAGGCTATACCTTATGATATGAAGTTGTTAAACAAATGATTATTTTATTAATTTATTTCTAACCAATGTTTATTGGGATTTCATTTTTATAGGATGACCATGACACTTTGACCAAACAAGCGACTTCAATTGTGATGTGTGCAAGAGAGAAACACCATCTTTCACAGGTATGTGTATGTCGGCTGAGAAAAACTAACCTAAATATATAGGCTATTAATTTTTGCTTTTTTTTCCCAGAGTGGTGTCAACGATGTTGTGGCAGCAATACAGCATTATCAAGCTCTGTTGGTGACCAATTTGAGGAGTCGGCTTCAAAGTGTCTTTCAGCAACATCCAGGAAACGAACTAGAAGGGGAGGCACTGGCAGTATTTGACCAGATTGAGGATCCCTTTGCAACAGTTTCAACAACGTACAGACAAGACAGTGTGATAAAGAATACTTTTAAATATGTAGAATCAGAGGAGGTGACAGTGGGATACACAGCATGTTTAACAAAAAAGGGAACAAAAAGACTGCTATCCACTAAACCCAAATGCTTTCATTATATCCCCCTCATACAAAGTTTAGAACAGTTATTGTCTCATCCAAAGGTTTTAGCAATCATGGATGAAGGTATAAACAACAGTAATGGATACCTATATGACATTACAGATGGAGAACTTGTGAAATCACACCCTTTATTCTCTACTCGACCATCTGCTTTGCAAATAATACTTTATTCTGATGAAATTGAAATATGCAACCCACTAGGCTCTCATGCTTCCAAGAATAAGTTAATTATGTTTTATTATACATTGGGAAATATTAATCCTAAATATAGATCCAAACTTGCTTCAATTAGACTACTTGCAATGGCAAAAACAAATGAACTCTCTCAGTGTGGAGTGGATAAGATATTGGAGAGACTGCATGAAGATTTGGTAAAATTGTATAATGGTGTAAAAATTCAGACAGAAACTGGTGAAAGAGAAATATATGGAGCAGTTGTTTCAATTTGTGGTGACACGTTAGCTCAGCATGAGCTTTGTGGGTTCAAAGAAGGAGTCGGATTTGCTTTTAGTAAATGCCGACAATGTGAATGTGTGTTTGAAGACATGCAGATGTACTTCAGTGAAGACAACTTTGAGAAAAGGACCCTTGAAAGACATGTCAGACAGTGCAGTGACATTGACAAGGCCAGTACTGACTTTCTGAAAAACAGCTTAAAGACTACATATGGGATCAACAGGAGGAGCAAATTAATTGAATTTCCAGGCTTCAACATGATCAAACAAACACCACAAGATATAATGCACATCATCCTTGAAGGCATTGCTCCATTGGAAATAAAATGTGTAATTAAACATTTGGTACTATTAGGTGAATTTGACTTGGAAGATTTGAATGCAGGAATAGTCGGTTTCCCCTATTCTCCACAGGATGTCAGAGACAAACCCAGTTCAATATCCTACAGTACTTTAGCTTCAAATGATAATAAGTTAAAGCAGTCATCAGGGCAAATGATTGTTCTTCTAAAAATACTACCCTTTCTAATGGATAAAGTTAAAGATAATGAATGCTATTCTCTTATTCTTGAACTAATACAGATTGTTCAAATTTTGTTTGCTCCTGTAATAAGCTTTCAAACTATTGAAAGACTGAAAATGCTGATTGAACAACATTTAAAGCATATGAAACGCATATTTCCAGATAACAACATTACGCCAAAACAGCATTATTTAATACATGTTCCATTGCAGATTAAAAACCTGGGACCAATGGTTCGTCATATGTGTATGCGATTTGAGTCAAAACATTGTTTTTTCAAACAGTGGGTCTCTAAAGTAAATTTTAAAAATGTGTGCAAGTCTTTAATAAGACACAATCAAATGTATGAATGTTGCCAGAATTTAAGTAGTGCTGAACACCCTATTTTTTCATCTGAACGTATACTTGGTCCATCATCCGAAGTTAAAAACATGCCTTATCTAAGAGAGAAAGCGAAGGTATTCTTTGGAACTAATATCAGTCATGCGGTATCTGTAAAATGGTTAAATCTTAACGGGAATAAATATGTATCTGGTAAAACTTTAATTGTGAATGCAGTTTCTGGTAACTTGCCCGAGTTTGGACTGGTTAAAAGCATTTTTGTTATAAATTCATCTTTGTGTTGTTTTGAGCTTCAGCCGTATACAACTGTTTGTTTTGATAGGGATTATATGGCATATAAAACTGAAATTCCAAATATGGCACAAGCAAATGAATTCATATCTTCTGACCAAATGGTGGACTTTACCCCGTATTATAGCTACACACATAATGATGTGAGATATGTCCCTCTAAAATATGATCTTGGAGATGTGATTGAATTTCACAGCCTCAATAATGTTTTTCAATAATGTATGTTACAAAGGCTGCAAATTGTATTGCAATCAAATCAAGGTCACAATTTGAACTGTTGTAAATAGTTGATTGCAGAGACAGTCTGTTAAAAAAAAAACTGTCTAGATGGGGTCTTCTGTCTGAAACCTGCTAAACCTGTTGATTAGACCTTTACAGGCATGTTCTGAAATGTAGAGGATTGTTGTGTTAATTTACCAGAGCTCCTCTTTAAATGTAACATAACTTATATCTTGTTGCATTTGCTGTAATGGCAGAGCAGTGTTATTAGATATAGTTATGCAATTGTTACACTTTCACTTTGATATTGAAAATAAAGAATGGGATGTATTAATCTATCTGTGAGAATCGGTTCTTAAATTAAGAGTTGCAACCTTATTTTTTCTTAAAATAAGAAAAAAAAATTATCTCTAATGCTGAAGAAGATTCAAATAGTCTTTCTTTCTTGTTACAAGAACAAATTGCTGTTTTTTTAGCAAATATATCTAAACAAGAAATGGCTAGATTTTATTTCCTAAAATAAGACTTTATTTCTCAAGAATATTTTGCTAGACAAGACATTTTTACTTTTTGGGGAAAAAATAAGAATGTATTTCTTAAAATAAGATTTTTTTACTTGCTTAGAATCCCCTTTTTGCAGTGTAGCTAACCAGTTATTTCAGGATTACCACAGACTAGTCACAAATCCAGAGCAATCTCCTGAAAACTGTGTTGAGCCTCGAGCTGCCTTTGAATTCTTTCTTTGGCCTGAAGAGAGGAACGTGTGGACCTCTTCCACCGACCAGGACCAGGACTTTTGGGGCTTTCTGTGCAATTCCATTTCTCTGGAGTGAGGAGGACGTAATGTAGCCGAAGCAGAGCCTTCTTCTTCTTCTTCTTTTAATTTCCGGCAGACTTGGCGCCTCATCGCGCATTGCTGCCTTTCCCGGTCATCTTGTGCACTACAACAACTTCCATAAAGAATAGGCTCAAGCCTATCCTCTATAACCAGATATGCAGCTCAGCTGCTCGTACAAAGTCCAAGACCGCTCTCACAACCAGATTCTGCTCTCTAACTGGACTCAGAAGAGACTTCAGATTGCAGTCCATAGAAACCTTTGACATAATCTCCTTCAGCACGGCTCGCTGATGAGAATATACTGGACAATCCATGAATACATGACTCTCAGTCTGATTCTTGTTACAGTGTGCACATAACCCACTTTGATGTTTCCCCACTATAAATCTGTCCCACGCTAGCCCACAATGCCCTAATCTCAGCCTGGTAAGGATGACCTCACTCCTTCTATCCTTAACACACATTATAGGCTTACATTTAACAGAGGGATTGATAGCGTATAAGTGTCGCCCCCTGCTGTCCCCATCCCAAATTGCTTGCCAAGCAGCTGTACTATGGATTTTAATCTTAGCTTTCCACTCAAGCACCCCTGGCACTAAACTACACTCTAAAGGTTTTTTCAATGCCTGTTTTGCCGCATTGTCTGCAACTTCATTGCCCCATACACCAACATGAGCCGGGACCCAGAGGAACCCCACAGACCCCTTTGCTTTCTCAATCTCAGAAATTTCAGTCAGCAACTCGATCACTAGATCAGGCCTGGCATTGCCTTTATCGAAACCTATAGAGCTTAACACAGCCGCTGAGTCTGAACATACTACAATCTGACCTTGTTTAGTGGCCTTTGCCCACTGAAGAGCACATATTATCGCTTTAATTTCTGCAGTGTACACAGACATCTCATTTGGCAGTCTCTTATTAAAAACCACATCTAATTCGGGCGTT